TTGTTTTTGTTTTGTTTTTTTAACTTCCTGATAATTAATATGGTTCAGAATGCTTAGGTAGGTTTAATGGCCATTTGGCTATCCTCTTTTAAGAACTGTTGTCTATTTTCTTACTAATTTTCAGGAGTTATATCTTCAGGACAGGAATTCCTTGTTGCTTGCATATCTTGCAAATATCTTCTCTCCTTGTAGAGTGTGGCTTTCTGTTCTCCACATAGTGTGTTTTGATGAACAAAAGTTCACAATTTTAACTTAATCCAACATAGCAATATGATCCTTTATAATCATAACAGTAATCATAACAGACCCTTTATGATCTGTGCTTTTGTTCTCTTTAAGAAAATCTTTCTTTGAAGGCCATGATGATATTCCCCAGTGTTATCTTTTAGACATTTTATTGTTTTATCTTTCATGTTTAGACCTACAGTTCCTCTGGGATTAACTTTTGTATATAATTTGAGATGAATTTACTTTGATGCTATATAGTGTCTAATTGACTGAGGAACATTTGTTGATGGGATCGTCTTTCTCCAATGCATAATTATATCACCTTTATTGTAAATAAAATAACTGTATATGTGAAGACCTTGTTGAGTATTCTATTGGGTAACTCCATGCTGTTTTAATAACTAGTTCTGGCTGTCTGAACTTTGTATTTTTTTTTTTCCTTCTCCTTTAGGATATTCTAGGCTAGGGGCCTAACTTTTTTTCTGTAAAGGGTTAAATGTAAATAGGAGCCAAGGCAAAGATTTTAGGCTAGATGGGTCTTATTGTCTCTGTAGCTACTGTAGCATAAAAGCAGCCATCAATAGTACATAAATGGATGATGATAGGGCTATGCTTCAGTGAAACTTACAAAAACCAGCAGCAGGCCAGATTTGGCCTATGGGCCATAGTTCTCAAACTCTGTTTCTAGGATATCTTAGCACAGCTCAACGAAATTTTAGAATCTGTTTCTCAGTTTATACATACATATCCACAAACATCCACACACACACTATGAGATCTGAAATTGCATTGAAACTATAGATCAACTGAAGAGAACTGAAATCTGTTAAAAAAAAAAAAAAAGTGCCTTGTAATTCATGGATATGGATGTCCCTCTACTTATTTAAATTTTCTTTAGGTTTTGTCGGTAATGGTTTATAATTTTCTGTGTAGAGGTCTTGTATGTCTATATTTGTATTTACCCCAGTTATGATATTTTTAATGCTGATGTAACTTATCATTTTTAACTTTTATTGTGGTATATAAAATATAATTTGTTTTTTGGATAGTAAGTCTGAAATGACTTTGCGCAATTTATTTACTAAAATTAGTTTGTGGGCCATGCGAGGTGGCTCAGGCCTGTAATCCTAGCACTTTGGGAGGCCGAGGCGGGCGGATCACGAGGTCAAGAGATCAAGACCATGGTGAAACGCAGTCTTTACTACAAAATACAAAAATTAGCTGGGCGTGGTGGCACGTGCCTGTGGTCCCAGCTACTCAGGAGGCTGAGGCAAGAGAATTGCTTGAATCCAGGAGGCGGAGGTTGCAGTGAGCTGAGATTGTGCCACTGCACTCCAGCCTGGCGCCTGGTGACAGAGCAAGACTCTGTCTCAAAAAAAAAAAAAAAAGTTTGTGGACTTAAATTTTTTTTTTTCATAAGCTAAAAGTTTTTCTCTTCTAATCATGATACTTATTATACTGACAGGGGTCTCTTGTATAGTGTTGAGTAAAAGTGGTGACGGGAGGCATTCTTGTTATTGATCCCATTGGTAAAATTTTCTTGCGTTTGCATTTATTCAGATAATTATATGATTTTGATTTTGTCAGTAAGGTGAAATACGTGCTTGATTTTCAGTGCTAAAACACATATTTCTGTAATGTTTCCCACTCAGTAATGATGTATTATCTTTTAAATGTATTGTTTGCCAGGCTTTGCTACTATTTGTTAGAATTTTGCCTCTGTTGCAAATAATACTGATCTATAAGTTTCCTTCTTTGTTATAAACTTGTAGCTTTTGTTAAGATTAGGCAAGCCTTATTACTTATGTTTGAAAGTATTTTCTCTTTTTGAAGGAATATGAATAAAATTTGTGTTATATTTTAGTTAAATGTTTGAAAAAATTTGCTGCTAAAACATTCTAAGTCTGGACATTTCATTATAGGAGGTTTTAATATCAGATTCAATATCTTTGTTGTATACATGTCTACTTAGAATTTTAATTTCTTCTTCTGTCAGTTTTGTGTGCCATGATTTTTCAGGAATTTGTCCATTTCACCTAAATTTTCAATTTATTGGCATAATGCTGCTTGTAGTACACACTTATAATATGTGTAATTTCTATAGGATCTCTAATGATGTCCACTTTTTACCTTCTTATATTGATAATTTGTGTTTTTTTTTTTTTTGGTCCTTCTTGGTAAAGGTTTATTAATTATTAGTCTTTTCAAGAATCAATTTTTGCCTTTGATGGTTATCTCTAATTAAAAACCTGCCGTTGGTTACTGCAACTAATTTTTTTTTCTCGTTTTTGGGTTTAATTTGATCTTTTATTTCTTTTTTGAGACAGAGTCTCATTCTCTTGTCCAGGCTGGAATGCAGTGGCATGATCTTGGCTCACTGCAGCCTCCACCTCCTGGGTTGAAGTGATTCTCATTGCACAGCCTACCAAGTAGTTGGGACTACAGGTGTATGCTACCAGGCCTGGCTAATTTTTGTATTTTTGGTAGAGACATTGTTTTGCCATGTTAGTCAGGCTGGTCTTGAACTCCTGACCTCAGGTGATCCACCTGCCTTGGCCTTCCAAAGTGCTGGGATTATAAGCACTTTACCATTGCACCCAGTCTTACTCTTCTGAGTTCTTGAGAACAACAGCTTAACAGTTATTGTCAGTCACTTTTCTAATGTATGCATTTTAGCCTAAAAATTCTCTTTTGAGAGGCTTTAATTATATCCAAGTTTGTTGTGTTATGCTTCTGTAATCTTCCAGATTCAAAGTTTTTTTAAATTTGAAACGATGTCAAATTTACAGAAAAGGTGCAAATATAGTACAAAGGATTTTTTTCCCTTGAAACCGTTTGAGAGTAAGTGCTGTCGTGATGCCCAATGACATCTGAATGCTTTATTTACATAAAAGATATTCTCCTTCATAAGAATAATATAATAACCAGAATCAGGGAATTAAATTGTTATGTTTCTACCCATCTAATCCTTAGGATTATATAGGAGAAATATATAATGCTAATAAATAATTTATATATAAATATATAATTATATAGCATATATATATATATATATATATAGCGCTAACAATCTAGTTTGATCTATAGTTACACTGTCAGTATTTTGTTGATTGTGTGCTTACGGTACATTTCATTATGTTTTTTTCTGTCCTTTGCATTTCTGCAGTTTGTCAAATTGAATCTAAAGGTTGAATAGAGATTCAGTTCCTTTAACAAATCTATTGATGGTTGTATGAACTTTCATTAGAAAGCAAATGATGTCTTGTTTTCAATCTTTCGTGATATTAGTATTCTTTGATGCTTAGTGCTTAGATTATTGGAGATTTTCATGTATTAGTTGGAATAATGTTATGCTATACCAACATTAGCAGATTATATTGCCATTCATACTTCATTTTATCTCTTTCAGCCATAATTTAGTCTTAAGTTCTATAAGTAACGCTCATTCTATATGTCAATATTTCTCTAGTAATTGCGTTAAAAAATCAACCTTTAGTAGATTCCTTAGAAAAGTTCATAGGAACAATATTTCCCTAGTTCTTGCATGTTGATAACAATTTGTGTCCTTTATATTTGAAGAACATAAAATCTTTTGATCACATTTTCCTTCCTTGCATATATTTAATATATTATTGCACTTTTATTCTGTCAAAAAGCATTTCTGACAGAAAGTTTGATGGAAAATATAATTTTAAGTCATGTACTCATTCTGCATGAATGGCTAGTGGATTATTTTTCTTGTTTTAATGATACAAAGTACTTTTACTAGACTGTATTATGGTATTAGTCATTCAAGATTGATATTCTGAATAGGTCATGTGTTCTTTGAATGTTTCAATTTTTTTGTGTTTGAAAGTTTAATAGTTTTTAATATTCCCTCTGATTTGCTTTGATTTTCTTTATTTTTTTGTGATAAGAACACTTAATGTGTGCCCTTTAAAAATTTTTAAGTGTACAATACAGTATTATTAACTATTGGCCTAGAACTTACTCATCTTGCATAACTAAAACTTTATACCCATTGAACAACAACTCTCCATTTTTCTCTCCCCACCAGCCAATGGCATCCACCATTCTATGCTCTTTCTATAAGTTTGACTATTTTGGATGCCTCATGTAATTGGAATTGTACAGTATTTGTCCTTCTGTGACTTATTTCAGTTAATATGTTCTCCAGGTTTATTCATGTTGCTGCATATGGCAGGATTACCTTCTTTTGTAAGGATGAATAACATTCCATTGTATATATGCCACATTATTTTTTGTAATAAGAACACTTAACATAATATCTACCCTTTTAGTAGATTTTTAAGTATGGGATACAGTATAGTTAACCATAGGTGCCATGCTGTACAGTAGATCTCTGGGACTTACTCGTTTTTCATAACCAAAACTTAATACCCTTTGACTAATTCTTCCCAGGTTACCCTCCATTCAACTCCTGACAACCACTCTTCTATTTTTTGCTTCTATGGATTTGACTATTTTAAATTCATCATACAAGTGGTATTATGTAGTATGTGTCCTTCTGTGTCTGGTTTATTTCACTTGGCATAATATCTTCCAGTTGCATCTACATTGTTACAAATGGCAGGATTTCCTTCCTTTTAAAGGCTGAATCATGTCCCATGGTATGTAGACTATGGTGAATAATACTGCAATGAATGTAGGAGTGCAGATGTATCTTCAGATTATTATTTCAGTCCTTTTAGATATATACTCAAAAGTGGGATAGCTGGACCACATAATAATTATATTTTTAATTTTTTTACGGTGCCAATTTTAAATAGTTTTATTTAAGACATTGCATTTTCCACTTACAATACAGTGTTTATAAAGTGCAATGTTATTTCCTTCCCCCGTGCATATGTTCCATATTCAAGTATTGAGAATGCCCAGTAACTTACTATACAGCTGAACTTTTAAAAACTGCCACAGAATTTGTTACAAATTTAGGTCCTTCAATGTTTTACATGTATGGAACAATGCTAAATCTATACTTGGGTTGGCTTAACCAACCTCTTCAATGGTGGGCCCTGAAGAAGCACCACCAGAGGGAGGAGCTCCACCACCAGGGAATTCTCCAGGCATTCCTCCTGGCATGCCTCCTGCACTCTGGTACAGCTTGGAGATGATGGGGTTGCAGACTTTCTCCAGCTCTTTTTGCTGATGTTCAAATTCTTCCTTCTCGGCAGTCTGATTCTTATCAAGCCAGTTGATAATTTCATTACACTTGTCCAGAATCTTCTGTTTGTCCTCATCGTTAATCTTGCCTTGAAGTTTCTCATCTTCGACAGTTGCTTTCATGTTGAATGCATAGGATTCAAGTGAATTCTTAGATGACGCTTTGTCCCTCTGCTTCTCATCTTCAGCTTTGTAATTCTCAGTCTCCTGGACCATACGTTCAATGTCTTCCTTGCTCAAACAGCCCTTGTCATTAGTGATAGTAATCTTGTTCTCTTTTCCTGTACTCTTGTCCACAGCAGACACATTGAGGATGCCATTGGCATCAATGTCAAAAGTGACTTCAATCTGAGGAACTCCTCGGGGTGCAGGAGGTATGCCCGTGAGTTCAAACCTGCCAAGCAGGTTGTTATCCTTGGTCATGGCACACTCACCTTCATAAGCCTGAATAAGCACACCAGGCTGGTTTTCGGAATAGGTAGTGAAGGTCTGTGTCTGCTTGGTAGGAATGGTAGTATTACGCTTGATGAAGATGGTCATGATTCCACCAGCAGTTTCAATACCAAGGGAAGGAGGAGTGACATCCAAGAGCAGCAAATCTTGAACATTTTCAGACTTGTCTCCAGACAGGATGGCAGCCTGGACAGCTGCACCATAAGCAACAGCTTCATCAGGGTTGATGCTCTTATTCAGTTCTTTTCCATTGAAAAAGTCTTGGAGAAGCTTCTGAATCTTGGGGATGTGAGTAGAACCACCAACCAGGACAATATCATGAATCTGTGACTTGTCTAGTTTGGCATCTCGAAGGGCCTTCTCTATGGGGTCCAGGGTTCCACAGAACAGATCAGCATTCAATTCTTCAAATCGGGCACAGGTAATGGAGGTATACAAATCAATTTTTAATTTTTTAGGAACTTTCATACTGTTCTCCATAATGGCTGCACCATTTTACAATTCCACTAATAGTGCATAAATGCTCTAATTTCTCCTTATCCTCAACAACAATTCTTTTGTTTTTTAATAGCCATTCTAACAGGAATGAGACAATATCTCAGTGAAGCTTCAATTTATAATTCTCCAGTGACTAGTGATGTTGAACATCTTTTCATATACTTTTGACCATTTGTGTATCTTCTTTGGAGAAATATTCATTCAAGAATTTTTTTGCCCATTTTTTAATTGAGTTATTTGGTTTTCTGCTTCTGAGTTTCAGATTTCTTTGTATATTTTGGTTATTAATCCTTTATCAGATGGACACAAATATTTTTTCCTTCTTTATGTTGCCTTTTGACTCTGCTTTCATTTGCTCCATAAAAGCTTTTTAATTTGAGTTAATCCCACTTGTCTAATTTTACTTTTGCTGCTTGTACTTTTGGTGTTATAATGAAAAATTCATGGCCCAAGACAAATTTCGTCAAACTTTTACCCAATCTTTTCTTCTAGGAGTTTTACAGTTCCACATCTTACATTTATGTCTTTAATTCATTTTGATTAGTCTTTTGTGTATGGTGTAGAATAAGTGGCCAGTTTTATTCATTTGCATATGAATATCACATTTTTTCTATGCCATCTGTTGAATAAATTACCTTTTCTCATTGACACCCTTGTTGAAGAGCAGTTACACATCTATGTGTGAATTTATTTATGTGCTTTCTCTTCTTTTCCAAAGATCCATTTGGCTGTTGTTGTATCAGTACTGTTCTATTTTAATGACTATAGCTTTTTAGTATATTTTGAAATCAGGAAGTGTGATACCTTGAGCTCTGTTCCTCTTCAAGATTGCTTTAGCTGTTCAGTATCTTTTTTGGTTCCATATAAATTTTAAAATTGTTTCGTCTATATTTGTAAAAATGTCATTAGGATTTTGATAATTATTACATTGAATCGAAGATCAATATCACTTTGGGTAGTATGATTATTTTGATAATATTATATCTTTCAATCCATTAACATGAGAGGTTTTTCCATTTCTTTTTGCCTTACTTATTCCTTTCATCAATGATTTGTATTCAGCGTAAAGGTCTTTTACCTTCTTATGTTTATTACCAAGTATTTTATTCTTTTTGATTCTATTGGAAATTGTTTCTTAGGTTTCTTTTTGAATGGTTCATTGCTGATGTATCAAAGCATAACTGGTTTTTGTATATTGAGTTTATATCTGTAACTTATGAATGTGTTTATTATTTCTAACAGTTTTTGTGGAGGCTTTGGGATTTTTTTAAGTTTAAGGTCACTTGGAAACAGATAATTTTACTTGCTCTGTTTTGATTTGGAAACCTTTTATTTCTTTTTCATGCCTAATTGCTCTGGCTAGAATTTTTATACTATATTGATTGGAAATTATGATAATTGTCATCCTTGCCTTTTTCCTGGTTTTGGGAGAAAAGCTGTCAGTTTTTCACCATTGAGTATAATGTTAGCTGTACGCTTTATGTATATGGCTTTTATTGTGTTTAGGTAAAGCCTTTGTACTTTTTTTATTAAGTATTTTCCTCATGCAAGGTTGTAGAATTTTGTTCAGTGCTTTTTCTATGTCTGTTGAGATGGTCATGTTATTTTATCTTTTAATCTGTTTTATTGCATATTATATTAATTGATTTGCTTTTTTGGAATCATTCTTGTATCACAGGAAAAAAATCTCATGTGCTCATAGTGTCTACTGAGGTGGGAGGTGGGACTCTACTCCAGAGGTGGGGCTTGGACACCAGACCAAATTAAGGACTAGCCAAAACAGGGCTGGTGTGGAAGCAGCTTTACATAAGATGTCTACCAGTGTGCCATGTCCGTTTACCATTGCCATGAGAACACCTGGAATTTATTTCCCCTTTCCATGGCAACAACCTGATGATCTGGATGTTTCCAACCTTTTCCTAGAAATTGCTGCATAACCTGCTCCTTAATTTGCGTGTAGTTAAAAGTGAGTATAAATATGACTGCAGAAGCACCTTTGAGCTGCTACTTCGGCACACTGCCTGTTGGGTAGCCCTGCTTGCAAAGAGCAGCAACTCTGCTGCTGCTGTACACTGACACCTCAATAAAAGTTGCTGTTTAACATCACCAACTTGCCCTTGCATTCTTTTCCGGGTGAAGCCAAGAACCCTCCTAAGCTAAGTGCCAGTTTGGAGGCTCTCCTGACCTGCATCATAACCATCTATGTTAGGTAATTGGCTATATGTCAAAGAAAAATAAACTTCCTGTCTTTAGGACAAGACGTAGTTTTGCAACGTGGAAGAATGACTGTACCAACATTAGTCTCCTACTTTCCCACAGAAACTGAGAGACAGAGGTGCAGTTTATTTTGATGTTTACATTATATAAAGATGGGTCCTATGTTCTTGAGAAAGACATTCCTGGGTCATAAATCTGACCAGAGTTTTCAAAAGGATTTATATACATTTCAAAGAGAGAAACTACTTGTAATTACATGTTTTCCAAAGTAAATGCTCTGAATAAAAGGAGGGAGTGAAATATTTTATCTTATTATCAATAGGGAGAATTAAGCCTCTTATTTTTAATTTTTGATTTGTATTTGTCCTTACATAAGAAATAATACAGAGAAATCCTATGTCCTGTTTACTCACTTTCCATGAATGGTAATATCTTAAAAACTCTAGCACATTATTACAACCAGAATATCTACATTGATAATGTAAAGAAATAACTATTAAAATAGAGAAACAGCTCCATCTTTCTGGAAATGAAAGTCCCATCCTTAAGCCAATCAATGAACAATGACTGCAGTCTATGGTTTATTTATAGTCAATATATTTATGTAACGCTGAATATATTACAAAATAAAATATGAATTATTTGAGTTGTATCTGTGACTTTAATTAGGTATATCTCTTTCTTGTGGAAGGGCTTCATTGGCATGAATAATACTGATATATTTTGTTGACATTTATATACGTTAAATCAGTGTTTGACAGGGTTTTGCTATATGAATCAGTAACATTTGAAGGAAAAATTTGAAGGTTGCCAATACAGGTTTGCTAGCCCATTATTTCGAAAATTAAGAAAAAGACAATAAGATTAAGGTAAACATCCACTCTCATAATTTATTTCCAAATAAAGGTCATTTATTTTTTACCATAATATAAAGCCCTCATACTCATAGTATAGTCCAGTTAGAAACCTTATGCAGTCACAATTTCCCTTAAATGTGATGCATTTAAAGTTTTAAATAAAGATAAATCACAACATAAGATTTTGTGATAGTACATGCATATTGAAAAACTACAGCATAAAATTTTATTCTCTGTTAATCATTGATATAGTAGCTGTCTTCTCCCAAGTTTGAAATGTGAGATCAGTTTCTTTCAGCGGAACATGAAGTACAGAACAATGTCCAACTTATTTGTATTTTTTTTTATGGGCATTATGAAAACTTCAATATTAAGTAAGCATTTAAAAAAATTTTAAAACATTACTGTCAAATTTATTTTATCAATTCAGAATATTATAGGAAAACTAAGAAAAATCTAAGATTCTGCCATTAGTTGGTGACACCAGGTGTATAGCTAGTCAGGATTATAGACAAGGATGATCCTTTTAATGTGCTGTTGGATTTGGTCTATTTGTATTGTGTTGAGGATTTTTACATCTGTATTCACCAAGGATATTGGCCTATAATTTTCTTTTCTAGTTGTGCCCTGGCCTGGCTTTGGTATGATGATAATGCCAGCTTCATAAAATGAGTCCAAAGGTGTTTCTTTTTCTTAATATTTTGGGAAGAGTTTAAGAAAGATAGATATTGATTCTTGTTTAAATGTTTGGTAGCATGCATCAGAGAAGCCATCAAGTCCTAGGCTTTTCATTTTGAATACTGCTTTTGAGGTTGTTGATTACTGCTTCAATCTCTTATTCATTATTGGTCTGTTCAAGTTTCCTGTCTTTTCATGATTCAGTCTTAGGTTATATGCTTCTAGGAATTTATTCATTTCTTCTAGGTTTTTCAATTTGTTGGCTAAAGTTGTTTATAATAGTTCCTTACGATCTTTTTTATTCCTGTAGCATCACTTATAATGTCTTCTCTTTTATTATTTTTTTTGTGATTTCTCTTTTTTTAAAATCAGTTTAGGTAAGGGCTTGCCAGTTGTTTTGTTTGTTCTTTGGTCCCTTTTACCTCTTTCCTTTTCAGTTGTTTCATTGAAGTTTGGAGTTTTTGTTTTAACTTTTAATTGACAAATAATAATTGTATATTACATGTTTATAGGATGCAATGTGATATTTTGATATGTTTACATAATGGAATAATTAAATCAAGTTGTTTAAGAAATCCAGCAACTCACCTACGTATTATTCTTTTTGTGGTGAAAACATTTAAAATCTTCTCAGCAATTTTGAAATATACAGTACACCATTATTATAGTCACCTTTTTCTATGGAAGATCATTAAAACTTATTCCTCCTGGGGAGAGAGATCCAAGATGGCTAATCACTGGCAGCTTGGGATTGTAGCTCCCAGTGAAAGTGCAGAGAACCAGAGGATGCCACACTTTCAGATGAATTTTTGTTGCTCATGCACCAGGAGATTCCCAGCGGAGGAGCCCCACGGGTCACCAGCGCGATTCTTATGGCCAGCGAGGCGGTTTTGCCGCTGCCTTGGTGTGGCGGTTCTTGGTGCAGAGTCAGAAAAGCACCATCAATCTTAACGCCGCTGTTTTGGCCGGCGCAGTGGGTTGCTCAGATTTTAGCACTGGGAATCAACAAGTTGGACATCCACTCAGAAACCCAATTATAAAGACAGTAATTATAAAGACCACAGATGGATAAATCTACAACGAAGGGAAGAAACCAGCTTAAAAAGGCTGAGAATACCCAAAATCAGAACGCGTCTCCCTCTACAGGGGATCACAGTTCCTCATCAGCAACAGAACAAGGCCTGATGGAGAATGTGTGTTCCATTAACAGAAGCAGGCTTTAAAAGGTGGATGATAAGAAACTTC